GAAGGCTGTTGAGATTACAGATAAGGATTCAAAATGACTGACCGAGACAATGCTTCTGAAGACTTGCCTGGTGCCTTTGATGATGTTACTCTGGATCTTTCTATACCGGATTTACCATCAAACTATGCCGAGTGGTTTGACTGGGATCTCTGGCAACCTGAAGCGGAAGGAACCGATGGGGGCAACTCTTCTTCTGTTTCGTGCCTCACACCGGCCGTGAGCCTGCAGTCCGCCCTTGGTGACATTGGTAAGCTCCATGATGTAGGTGTCTGCAAGATCTAATGACTACAGATATGAACGATCCAGATAATTTGGGACTTTATACGAGAATCGTTCTATTCTTCGCATCTTCGGAGCCAATATTGGAGATCAAAGGCTGCGGTAGAGCCAAAGAGACTGCAGTCAGAATATTTGCTGCCAAATTCAACTTGGAGCAGTGGTATAATGCGGATGCAGAGATATCTATCATACGTCGACCCCAAGCAACGGTGTTGGGGACATCGGGCAATAATGCTGACCTCATTGGGGCATTTGAATCCAGTTTCAATGCGCAGCTTGTTCAGGAGAGCTCAGCACAGCTCAGCACAAGTGGCCAAGTCGGTCATCAAAGCTCACAACTTCAAGCTGCTAACAGCTATTCCTCGAATGCTAGAGATTTACTTCCAGACCTATGCTCCGATCCGATCCAAGATCATTTCGGTGAAGTGTCTCAGCACTCAATGTTGACTAACATAATTCCGAGCTCCCATAATCGATTGCCTGTCAACCACACCATTCGTCAGAGTTTGAAAGCACTCAAGCTTGCCGGAGGTGCTTGCTGGAGATGTAAGATTTTGAGGAAGAAGGTGAGTTATCTGGCTTTCCAGAGTATCATTCTCGATCTAACATATTATCAGTGTGATCCCGGCAATCCATGCAAAGCGTGTCCCAGCCCAGCAACAAAGTCTACATGGCAAGCGATAGGATGTAAGAGAGGGCCGCTATATAACGACGGGATCACCATATGTCCCAGACCTTCGCAGCCTGGTAATATCCAGTCGCCGATTCGGAATGTCATTCAAGCTTTCCTCGGAGGTGCAGCAAACAGAATGGCCGAAGCTGTTGCCCAGATGCAACTAGTCAAGCTAGAAGGGGTCGACAGCCTCGAGGAGAGCCTAGGCTCTCTGCAATCACGCCAATGCTTCAATCACAGCCATGACTTCCGCAACTCTATTAATAAAATGTTATGGGAACTGCAAGACAACCCTTTTGCTTTGGCAATTATGCGTATTTGCTCTATTTCCAGCTTTGAAAAGGTCTTGTTGGCAGCCGCACGGTATGAGGTAGAATGTGGAAAGGTGACTTATCTTCATATTCAAAAATTTAGTGAAAGTCAAGACTAATTCATGTATGCAGACTTCCTTGGTTATCTCCTCAATGGCTTGCCTGTATCCTTGCTTACAGCATTGTCGGCTCGCCAGTAAGGGGTTGCTGAAGGCAGACATCCACAACTTCTGTAATGCATCTAAATGCGACATTGCATGCTCCTCAGACTTAGAGCTGCATCTTCAGATATATCTAGACGAGCTTTCGCGTGTTATTTTCAGGAAAGAAAATTTACAAAGCGACAGAAACTGGTGGTTAGCTGTTTATTACAGCTTATATATCCAGAGCTTTGTGCGGTTCACCCTTATATTGATTGAACAGCTCATGAGAGGTACTAATTTGGCGGACTCGGGCAATTCCTTCAAAAACACTGGATCTTGTCGAGAATATCTTCATACTTTTGTTCGCCTTTTCGCTGCCGCTTCGGCCGGATATGATCCTATTGGCGTACACTCCAGTCAAGCTGGCGCTGTTCCTTTAGACCACATACAATACATCCAAGAGGCTCGGAATGCCTTTGGAAGTGATGAGCCTGCAGCAATTATGCCGGAGAGCTCATTAGATTTCATCAAACAGAGGTTCGAAATGGGCCAGGAATCACAAAAGCAAGATGTGGCAGTAAATTCGATCTCGAATTATATTGATTCGCGGTCCTCTGCCTGGAACCTCGACGTCCAGGTGGAACATCATAAGATTCCGGAGCTTTTGTTTCCACTCCAGGACGACAATTTTAGTGATCAGTCATTCGAATATGTGGATAGTGTACCGGAAACGCCGTCTCCCTCCGTCATGAGATCGATGTCGCGGACTAAGAGACGCGCGAACTCGCCGCCCGATGACCTCGGGTTCCCTGGAGTGAGATCCAGCACGGAAAGTCTCAATGAAAAGTTCAAGCAGCATTCTCTGTCCAGAAAGGCATCTTCCTCGTCCATGAACTCGGCTTTCGAAGACGATCGTGTATATCCTGAAGTCAAGGGGCGCTTGACAGTAGCTGAGGTTGAAAACTTGGAGTTCTTGTTCCAGAAGAACCCCAAGCCGACGAGTTTTATGAAGAAGGAACTCGCGGAGCAGATGATGGTGGACGTAGCCAGAATTAATGTGAGCGGTTGCTTACCAACAACGAAGAACAAAGCACTAACAGGAGTCACAGAATTGGTTCCAAAATCGTCGGGCTCGAGCAAAGTTTGAAGCTCGAAATGCTGCCATGGGCTACTCTTACCCTCAGACTTCGCAAATGTCTTCGGGGCAATCAAGCTACGGGTCTGAGAGAAGCGATGCCACGGCCAAACCACCAAAGTCACAGATCGGAGCTCCAGGCGCACCACAGATGCTTGCAACCCTGACTGAAATAATTGATCCGAATCGTCCCGTCACTGCCTCTCCGTCGTTGCCGCGCCTTCAAAGCCTCTTTGTATGCGATTGCTGTCCGAAGAGGCCAAAGACATTTGCAACCCTGGCGGAGTTGATGTACTGCTTCTCACCCCTTAACTCCGTTTCGATGCTAACTATAAATAGAGCCCATGAAACTGAAAAGTCTTTTGAATGCTCGCATTGTGGAAATCGGTTCCGTACCAAGGTTGAGGTTGAGCGGCACGAGAACTCCTTACATATCCGCCGTCACTTCTGGTCCTGCAGTCGTATCGAGGGTTATTCGGCGGTCTTCTTCCCAGTCGGCGATGAATCCGTGGAAGAGTGCGGATATTGCGGCAAGAGATATCCTTCAGAAGCCGTAGCCACGAAGCAAGAACTGGAAGACCGTATACAACATCTTCAGGAGGCTCACAAGTTTCGCGAGTGCAACTCCTCCAAGAAGTTTTACAGAGCCGACCACTTTCGGCAGCACCTGAAGTATTCGCACTCTGCCGTTGCCGGTCAATGGACTGAGGAGTTGGAGATGTATTGCTTAGCGGACGTTGAGGCTGAATAAGACAAGGGCTTGTAAGTTCGATCATCGAAATGCAGCGGTTGTCGTACTCGTTTTATTTACGTTTATGCAATGAGTGATGGGTGTCATGCTGACGTTCCTGATTATGGGTTGAGTTATCGTAAGATGGTTTTATATTGGCTCTCACTTGGCATTCTGCATACTTTAGATTAAGACATGACTTGCGCGATATCACGCTTTCTTAGTACTCGAAATCCAAATCTGCACTGATTGACCCATTACATCAGAATCGATTGGGGGGTTTGCTCTTATCTCTTTTTCGCTAGGGATCCTTCAGGGGTGAACAGTGGATGATTTTCGTTTGCTCTGCAAAGGAAACTGAGTGTTCTTGTATGACGTAAATCACCGCGGATCAAGATGACGTTTAGATGGACAATGCGTCGAAACTCGAGAAGGATTTGGGAGGCGAATATTCAATTAAATAATAGATTCCTCTTGATTCAAGAAAGCCGATACTTCGCTATTCTGTCTTGAAGGCTTCGAAAATTTACCATCGCCAACTTACAAACTGGTTTGGTTGACTTGAATTTTTTTAATTTAGTCAACCTCAATCACTCTGCTGGATCGACCACACACACAACCTTTCACGGTACTACCAAGATGGCACCTAGCAAGACTCCCGGTGGACAAGCTCCGTCTGACAAGTTCTTGAAGAAGGAAGCTGCAGGTTTGTGGTATCCCCTGTGTCCCGCAGTACGCATAGAGTGACTTACAGGCGCTTACAGCACACGGTCTCGGAGCAGAGAATGCACCAGCACACAAGGATGGCAAAGCACCCGGAGAGGTGCCCGTAGCATCAGACAGCGGCGTCGGGGCGGTTGGCTGGGAAGAGGGAGGTGCAACAAACATTCCGGGAGAGAAGGGGCTCAAGGAAGCGGTGCCAGGTAGCGCGGCGCCGGGGCCGGCGGAGGGCAGCGCTTAGTAGATATCCCGGACATAGACCGGGGGCGGAGGCCAAAGTCCGTACAAGAGGATGAAACCGCCAGTGTCTGCAGGTGTAAGAGACGAGCTTCAGATAGCAAAGGTACCGTGGATTTCTAAGACGATCTCTTGAATGACTCTTCGCCGTGTCTAGTTCCTCGGTTAGATCTGCTGTTCAGGCAGACTGGCAATGACCAACTCCCCGAGGTGTCCCGAATCTAGAAGATTTCTCCGAGAAGTAGAAGCTTTCCAGGGACTGCCGCTTGGCAACACACAGCACAGCACGGGGAGATTGCGCCATGGACCAATTTCAATAGGGGTTATTGCAGCACTATGGAGAGCTAGAAGAGAGGCTTCAGTAGGTGCTACAGCAGAGCTTACCCAAGCAAGAAGAGGATTTACCATGGCCCGACATGCCGTGATATCACCGAAACGGGGCGAAGAAGTGATGGCCGAGCCGTCTTAGTTCTAGCACCACAATTGCCGCGCCAGGACAACCCCACCTGAGGATGAATTCCCAAGGTGGGGTTGGCTGCTTTGCTTCACTGACTGAGGGGCGAGAAGAGGGGAGCTGCTACTGCACTGCTGCTGTTTGTTGTGTCTCAACTCAATCGTACAAATTGAGCCATTTGCAGTAAAAACTTCCGGTACCTACGCATAACTTGGAGAAGGGCTCTGTGAAAGACACAATTTTGTAAGATCTTTCATCAACCATCCTCTCTTCTCTTCTTTCTCTCTTACCATCTTCTACAAGCTGCCGAGTGAGATCATGGCTTCTACCGTTGGAAAGGTAAGCAAGCTTGGGAGCTCTCTCTCCCCCTCCCTAGACAATGACGTGCCCCCGCGCTCTCTTCACCCCGCATGAGAGCTTCTGTAGCTTCATGAAGCTTACACGCATGGATCTCATAGACGATTACTTGCAAGGCCGCCGTCGCCTGGGAGGCCGGCAAGGAGCTGAGCATCGAGGATGTCGAGGTCGCGCCGCCCAAGGCGCACGAGGTCCGCATTGAGATCTACTACACCGGAGTGTGCCACACAGGTCCGTACTCTCACCTCCACATCTTTGTTTTGTATTTGTGTAGCTCGGGCAGCTCGGGAGCTGACAATCGTGACTAGATGCCTACACACTGTCCGGAAAGGACCCCGAGGGTGCTTTCCCCATCATCCTGGGGCACGAGGGAGCTGGTATCGTCGAGTCTGTCGGCGAGGGCGTGACGTCAGTGAAGCCGGGTGACCATGTCGTCGCCCTCTAGTGAGTACCAGCCCAAGAGCATATCGCTACATGTGACTTATCACTGACTGCCCAAACAGCACACCAGAGTGCAAGGAGTGCAAGTTCTGCAAGTCGGGCAAGACCAACCTGTGCGGCAAGATCCGAGCCACCCAGGGCAAGGGTGTGATGCCGGACGGCACCTCGCGCTTCAAGTGCAAGGGCAAGGACCTGCTGCACTTCATGGGCACATCTACCTTCAGCCAGTACACGGTCGTGGCGGACATCTCGGTGGTGGCCGTGCAGCAGGACGCCCCGATGGACCGGACCTGCCTGCTGGGCTGTGGTATCACGACCGGTTACGGCGCGGCACGCATCACCGCCAACGTGGAGGCCGGGTCCAACGTGGCCATCTTCGGCGCGGGCTGCGTCGGCCTGAGCGTCGTGCAGGGCGCGGTCATGCAGGGCGCCGGCAAGATCATCATTGTCGACGTCAACCCGGCCAAGGAGGAGTGGTCCAAGAAGTTCGGCGCCACCGACTTTGTCAACCCGACCAAGCTGCCCGAGGGCCAGACCATTGTCGACAAGCTCATCGAGATGACCGACGGCGGCTGCGACTACACCTTTGACTGCACCGGCAACGTTAGCGTCATGCGCGCCGCCCTCGAGGCCTGCCACAAGGGCTGGGGCCAGAGCATCATCATCGGTGTCGCGGCCGCCGGCCAAGAGATCCAGACTCGCCGTAAGTGTTACCCTCTCTGCACCTTGACACTTCCAAGCTGTCGTGGGGCGTAATGATAGCTGACCATTTGATGTTCTAGCATTCCAATTGGTGACGGGCCGTGTCTGGAAGGGCTGCGCGTTTGGCGGCGTCAAGGGCCGCTCTCAGCTGCCCGATCTCGTGGGCGACTACCTTGCCGGCAAGCTCAAGGTCGACGAGTTCATCACGCACCGCAAGAAGCTGGGCGAGATCAACAATGCTTTCGAGACCATGAAGTCCGGAGACTGCATCCGAGCCGTGGTGGACATGCGTGCGCTATAAGTTTGGGGTTGGCTGGTCTGGTCTGGGATGGGATGGGATGGAACGGAATGGGATGACGAGAATGATGTGTAGTTATAGCGGAAATTGCAAGGCAAGATGGAAAAAGTTATGATCAATTTGATGGTACGATCTAGTTCCCATCTCGCGGTAGTCTAATTGGTGAGATGCCTGATGTGTACTATGTAAGCTGGCATTGCTATATCTGGGAAATAGTTGTTGGAGCTTGGATGTCTGTTGAGGTGACGACGGTTGTTGGCCTTGCACCCCGGCAGCCAGGGGTGTCACAGCGAGGCGACCAATACCATCAGCGATTGAGATGAACCCAACGCTGCCGCATGCTCAAAAGCCAACCATCTCTCCCAAATCTCAGGTTGCTGAGACGATGCCTCCCTCAAGGGTTCACGATATCGATGTTGATGCGGCACCGTCATTGTCTTTGTCATGGGATTACTACCTGCCTGGCTTGACGCCTTCCATGTACCATCTCGCACGTGTCCAGGTCATCAGCGTCTCAGTGTGCAACTTACTTTAGCCGTCATTGGCGCCGCTAAACAAAATCACAAATCACTTGCAGCCTGAGACTGGGTCTGGCCTTTTGTAGTCGTTCTCAAGGGTCTGGTGAACGAGCGATCACCCGAACTACTTATTCTTTGTCTCTACAGTAAGTACGTGGCAGGCGGTGGTCCAGAAACAGGGACCCCCGCCGACTAAGCCAGGCCAACAAACGGGCCTGCAGGAATGTGATGTGCAACAGGCAGCTCGGCAGGCTGGCGCTGCACAACGTGTTCATGTGAGATTAGCCTGTCTGTCTGTCTATCCGTTTGCAGCGCATTCGGCGCATACTGTGCCCTGTGGATTGTGCATCCTGTACTGTATACAGCAAGTGCGCAGCAGAAGCTGCTTGGAGCCTTGTGGCACTCTGACTACTTTGAGACTGTTCCATCTACTATTACGGACCTGTCCAGTCGCAGCTGTGGTTTTCCAAGAGAGGAACAGAAGGATGGGGCATCGATGCAGGAAGAGGCGGCCAGAGGCTTTGCCTGGATTTAGTAACCCAAACTCAATGGAGTACGGTAGTCCAAACAAATACCGGCTCCCCTGATGTATCGTGTTCTTTGACGATGAGCAGGGTCCAGACTTCCATTTTCGATATCGGAGACAAAGAGAGTGCGGTAGCCCCCGCGATCACAGTCCAGGTCAGAGGCTGGGCCGGAACGAAGCAATGCTAGCCGCTAGCAGGGTCACCACGCACATGCCGCTCGGCTAACGTTGATGAATCCGGATTTCTTCCGGTTCGTGTTCTCAACACGGGTCTTTTGGTCAATGCCATGCCGGGATGTGGTACCTCCGTTTGGGTCTACTGTACCATGTGAAAGGCCTGGGGCAATTGTAAAAGCAAGGTTTATGGCAATTGATACGGGTAATGCCTGGATCGCCCGGTATCGTGGAGTGCAGCATCTTATCTAAGTGCCGATAGATAGACAGATAGGCAGATACTGTAGGCTTGATGGTCAGCTTAGACAGCGTAGTCTATGACTAATGCCTGGCGATCCGGGAGGGAGCACCTGAGTAAGTGGACAGCCACCACCCTGTCCTGCGTAAGGATTACGTTAGAATCAGCAAGTCGAGTCGTCCGCTCAGTCCGGTAACGTTAGGCCATCCAGACAACGAGGCTGTACATCCATCCGTCTGTTGTTGGGCCCGTGTCTGTCAGGTAAGCAACGGCAGATCCGGGATGGCTCTTAAATATCAGGAGCCGGGCATAGGACGGGAGAAGTTCATGATTTGAAGGTCTATGTAGTGCTCTCAACGCCGTAGATATTGAGAAGTGATCTTGCCGTCGGTATAGCTAGTTGTACAATACCCACCGTGCTTGTAGACATCCGGTAGGTGCCGTGCCGTTGGCAATGGAACGAAGCCAAGTGGTCCCTTGGGTCCCTTGGGTCCCTCGGCTCCCTTGGTACAGTAGAGGAGCACCCGGGGGTACGATCCGGACAGCAAGACACAACACGACCGATCCGGTAGGCAAGTCGCAGAATACAGCATATGCTGTACGACCAGTCGCGGTGCCACCTACGAAGATGGCGACCCGGAGGTGCGACGGCCGCTGGAGAAGGAGCAGCCTCTATCTGGTCATGGCAACCTCTCATCCGTCAAGGGCAATGAGGTGGTTCAATAGTGTCCCGAGACAAGCCACGTTGGCTGGTGCTGGTGCCGCCTTGCCGACTGCGGTAGGTCAAGAGAGTGATCCCCTTCCCAGCTGCAAAGGCCAACATCGATCGTACACACCTGGGTACTGTACTTACCTACTTACCTACATGTCCCTACCTACCTCCCCTGGTACAGAGGTACAGAGTGAAATGCAGTTGAGTACGTACGGCGCCTGCAGCCTCGAACACCAGGGAAACTCCAGACGCCGCGGACAGGGGACAGGCTGGTGCAGTAGCGGGTCTCCGGGGGGTGGCCTCGTACGCAGTAGCGAGCAGATAGCGGCAGAGGTCCCTGCAGTGTCGCAGGGTCGCGGTGATATTTGATGCTTGATACGTAGAGGTATCACGTACCGGTATACCGCCTGCAGCGCCCTGTTTCCGGCAGGTTACCTTGGCTGAGGAGGAGGTATTTATTTATTAGAGGTGCATGCTGCCCTCCGTGTCTCAATGCTCCCTTTCCTTTTACTTTTGTCTTTACCTTCGCAATCTGCCGCATTTTCGCCCGAGCTGTCGCCGTTCCGTCATAGACTGAGTTGTGTTCGTTTGGAGAGAGCGCATTTCTAAGCTTTTGGGAGGTCTCTCTCCGTATCTGACTGTTGACCGTTTCCAAGGTTGCCGTCGCCATCCCGTCTAACATTATTGGAACTTTACCTAAATTCAAGTGCCACCAATTAAGCGGCAGCGATTGTGGGTTCTTATTTCAAGGTTAAGAGATACGGAGGATTGACACTGCACTGCAGCATTGCACTGGGGCCTACGTTATTAGCAGCAGGACGGTCACGCTACAAGGCAAGATTGGCAGCTTATCCACTGTCTCCACCGCCTCCGTCGCCATCCCGAAAGCGGAGCCTTGTCCCTTCTGCCTCGTCGTCATCCAGCCAGCGCCAGCCAGCGCCAGCCAGCGCATTCAAAGCCTGCTCGCCTGCCCGCCCAGCGCCTGATTAGCCTGCCTGCGAGCAGCTTAGAGTACCTACTGTACCTAATCCGCCGTAGCCTGCCGTGCCCCAGAAGCGGTTGCTCTCGCTCTCAGTGTCGACCTCATTTCGCCCCAACCATCCGCATCCCGGACGGACCCTTTGACTTGACTGATTCATTCATTCATACGACATTGGTCATTTCCAGCACGTTCTCCCGCTAACTTAGCCAACTTCCCTTTCTCAGAGCAGATCCCACCACGTGAGTGTCCATGACTCCCTTATCCATCTCCTCTCTTCCTCTTCCTTCCCGAGCCTCACTTTCTCGTTTCCTTTCTTCCATCATCATCACACACACGCGCCCCCAGTCTCATCACACGACGTCTCACTGACCGACCTCACAAAGGCACCTCCTCCTCTCGCCTATCTCTCTGCCAACGTCCTCTCCTCTCTCTCACCAACACCCAGAGGACAACTCACCCTTCGTTTGCCGCCCTCACATCCGAGTCATCCACCGTCTCTTATCATCTACACCGGAAATGGCTCCCCGAAGAATCAAGTGCTCCTTCAAAGAATGCAAGGATGCAGCGCAAAGGATAGTGGGCGATTGTGCCTTCTGCGAAGGCCACTACTGCGGCAAGCACCGTCTATTAGAGGACCACAAGTGCGAGGGTCTTGAGAACGTAAGTGTCCCCGGCCGCCAATGGTGGCTCGTCGGCCTCTTTGGCCTTCTTGACAGTGAGGAGTACATGGCTGACTTTCTTGACGACAAACAGTGCAAGAAGGAAGCTCACGAGCAGAACGCGGCACAGCTCGAGGCAGAGCGCACTCACGTCATCAGGGGCGTCTAAGCCGACCCGCGGCATCCCCCGAGCTAGTCATGGCTCCGCACATCACATCGTCACTCCGGCTTCCCGGCAGCGACTTCACTACTACCTCGGCCACCACCTTCCCCCTCTACTTCTTGCAGCAGCAACTACGGACAGATCGGATTATCTAGTGTTTTACCCCCAGAGGGGCCCCTTGTTGGCCTCCTATGTATTTGTTAATTACGCATGGCGTCGGGGGAACTTTTGATGGGCCTTGCCCGGGTGTCGGCCGAAGGCCGGCCGGCATGGTTGGATCATAGCGCGGCCTGCCTGAGCATTCTCCCTGAATGATATTTTCTGGCGCCTCTTTTCTATATTCTGTTTGTCGACGACAGCCGTGGTTATAATTTGCAGCTTATTTCTGAAACGAGTCAATCCGAGATACCTGACGGCTATTTACGTCAGGCAATACGAACAAACACTGATGGACCGTGCCTTGGCTTGGTCCTGCCCACCTTCTTGTGAATGCCGTCTTATCTCCGATATCGTATCTGGTGATCGTTTGCGAATCTCCCTTGTACTTGCAAAGGATACGCCTTCAAAAGGACACATTTTGAGTTTCTTAACGAATACGGGGTATGTATTGCTACTATTAGTTTGGAGCGGAACCTTGCGGTGCCTGTCGTATGCCAACTTGGCAACATTGAAAAAGCATGGCATTCCAGGTCTCCAATTCTCCTTGAGATCGACATCCCGAGCCATCCCTTGTACCTGATGATCTGTAGCACCTTCAAACACGAAAGCTAGAGAGCCCTTTCAGATGCCTACGCCACTGTCTCACTTTTGATGACTCGCCTGCGACTTTTCGCCGGCTCCTTGTCATCCAAGACACTCGGCACGACCTCCTCGTTCACCACGACGTCTCTCAGCGCCGTCTCCTGCATTACGTCCTCCGTCTTGACGACCGTCCCATCATCCTCGACCTTGGTGCGCTCCTCCCTGACCCTGCGGCCCTCGAGGACCTTCTTACGCTCAGCGGACCGGCACAGCCCGCGCAGGCCGAGCTCACAGTCGCCGCACCGACGGCCGACAGGCAGACACACCTTCTGGCCGAAGCCGACAAGCAGCCAGTTGATCTCCTTCCAGCGGTCGCGCGGCAGCCATGATTGCAACGCCAGCCGCGTCTCCTCGGGCGTCTTGGTCGCATTCCACCCCCAGAGGTTGGTGATGCGGTGCACGTGCACGTCGACGCCGATGCCCTCCACCGTGTTCCACCCGTTCTCGGCCCCCATGCACAGGTAGGCCATCTTGGGCCCCACGCCCGGCAGCGACGTCAGGCCCTCGATGGTCGGGGGAATGTCGCCGCCGAACTTGTCTCGTAGGATCTCGGCCGCTTGCTTGAGATATCTGCCGTAGAGGATACGCAGTTAGTTCTTGTACTCGTCATACGTCGTAAATCGCAAAATGTAGAACCACACGCAGGTGCACCTACTTCGTCTTGTTATTGTGAAAGCCCACCTGCCAGATCATCTCATTCAGCTTCGCCGGGTCCACCGCAAGCATGTTCTCGAGGTTCAGCCCGGGCGGCGCGCCCTCCTTGTACGGCGGCATCTCGGCCTGCATGCGCGCCATCGCCACCGCGTTGACCGTGTCCTTGGTCTGGCTCGACAGCATCAGCGCCACGAGCGTGTGGAAGCGCCGGTCGCGCGCCGACGCCCCCGGCTGCGCGAGCCGCTCGCACCCCATCGTGTCGACCGCCGCGTTCGCCGCAGGCCCTGTCAGCCGCATCGCCTTCACCAGCGCGTACATCTCCTCCCAGTCCGACGGCGGCGCGGTCGTCGTCGCGCCCGTCGAGGGGTCCGTCGTGGTGCGCGCCGGCTTGCGCACCTTGCGCGGCTTGGGCGGGGAGCGGACGTCTGCGAGCGAGGAGGTCGTAGATGTGGTCTCGGTCTCGGTCTTGATCTTGATCCTGGGGGAGGCAGCGGATGCGTCGGGTTTCACGATGGTCGTTGTGCGCTTGCGCTTCCGCGTCCGCCCGTTGGGCGGTGGCGAAGGGGTGGCATTTGACTTGATTGCGTCCTCGATGTCAGAGCCGAAGGTGATGTCGGACGTCTCATCATCGTCTTTGGATGATGCTGAAGATTCCCGGTAGGCGAAGCGGGAGAGCGAGGAGCGCGTCGAGCGCCGGAGAACAGGCTCAGAATGTGGTGTGGTGCCAAAGAGCTTCGCCGTCTCCTGAGAGAGGCGCGAGGACCGCATTGTCTCGTCTAGTGTAACAATTGATGGTTCTGGGCCGATGAACAATGTTTTCTAAGTGCTGTCGGCCCTTCGCCTCGTCGCTGTGATCTTCTTGATTTGCAGCTGAATCTATGTGCTCGTGGCTGGGAGTGACTGAGCTCCTATCATGTCCGCAATTTGGAGCTGAAATGGGTCGATTCTGATTCGACAAGGGAGCCTCAGGGGTAGCGTAGCCGACCCGGAATGCTGGGACCCCTGCTACCCGCTAGTGGACGGGTACCTGTGGGGTGCGGGGGCTTGAGTTCATCGGGGACCACCTCCCTCAACTCCAACAAGTTATCTACTCCTCTACCATGGTAATGAATATGAGTACGGCAAGAGTGTCATTACCTCCTCAATCAGAGAGTACTTCCTTTATAGAAGTTGATAGAACTATAGTGATAAATTAGAACCTTTAAGATCTTGATGAGTGTTATGACTCTTAATATAGAGTATCTTGACTTTTTAATACTCAATGTCTATTACCCTGGACGAAACAGTATATCATGAGGCAAGGACAGGCTTGTAGTCCCCTGTACTAGAAAAGATCCTAGAACCTTTGTGTTCATGACAGAACTCATGTTAAACATTCCTACTCCTAAATCTTAGAAAATCAGCTATATATTTCAACGGAAGCGTCAAGCCGCACGTTCCGAATAAGACTGCGTTTGAGAGAAATGAATGATGTCGTGATGCCTGTGCGATTAATATGGGAGAACAAACGAAAGTGGAATTTTTCATTTATGAAAAAAAAGAAAAAAAATTGAGAGCTGTGAGGCTCGAATCCAACAGAAGTTGGTAATGGTTTTGTGGTTTGAGAAATTGTCCATGTACCGTATGGTAGGTAACTTGACTGTTTTCCTTTGCTTTCTTGAGTGGAAAAATTTGGGCCTTGTTTTGGTATATGAAGGGATCACTAGGTGCATACTGTCTAGGCATCCCGAGCATCATCTGCATAGGTGACACGGTCAACACAGAAGAGCTTCGGCGCCATTCCTCCATCGAGTGCCCTTGTCCTCACCGCCAACTGTCTTACACATCTCTTCCAGACCATTCCGTGCACCTGTCACGCATTGATCTTATTTCTCCGAGTAATAGTTGTCATAAGAGATCAGTCACGGATGTTCTATACCGAGAACAAGGTATCCTCTTATAAGCTTTCTTAATTATTGCAACCTGATCCGCCGAGCGTACCTTCCTTTCCTCTCTCTTCAAGCTTCCTGTTTACATTACACCTTCCCCTTTTTACATCATTCCTACTTCCTGTTTATGCCTCGTCTCAGTACCATTTTATTCCCTCCACGTTGATTAAGGCTTCACCCGACAACCTGGTATTTGGTCATTGCGTCCTAAACATGCCTTATCGGCTGCATGAACTCAGGTAAACATTCGAATTTATGACAACACGGTCCAGCTTATTTCTCACCTAGGAGATGAGTAACGTTGTTTACTTTGTCACTGAATGTGTAACGCGCTCCCTTCCTCCACATCCACCCCCCACGCCCACTATCAAGGATAACTCCCCATTGATTTTCCCACGGGATCTCGACACCACCTGCTCTTTGATGAAGCTCGTCCATAGCCAGGTAAGTATACTCATACGCGTTTAAAGGTATAGAATCACGGACTAAAATTTTTAGATCTCCCCCAGCCTGATCTCGATACGATGCCGTCAGGATGGAGTGGAGTATGGGAGTCTAAGCAGCCCCTTGTAAGTTGATATCCATTACTCTAATATTCCTTTGCACTGGAAGAGCTAAAACAAACAGGCCCTTCCATTCCTGACCACGCCCCGCAAGATCTGCTTCAACTGCTTGCGACGCTACGCTGATCATCCAGAGATTGTCTGCCAGTATGACGACGACGACAGGGCTTGCAATAATTGCCTACCGTTGGGACTATCCCGATGCGACAAAGTCAAAGTAAGCAATGAATCACCTGCCATGGCGCCTATTAGGCGTCTACAAGAGATCGCCGGTGAGGTTGCGCATCTTCAGGCTACGGATCGATTGCCGACGCCCGAGATGATGCGCCATCCAGAAGACCAGAAAGATGCCGCCATTCAGATTGTCCTCCTGAGTGCTTCACTGCAGAAACGGCATGAGAATACTACGCCAGCGAGGCAGCTCACTGAGGTACCTGCGAATAGTGGTTTGTACAGCTTCCAACCTCGTCCGAGACAGTCTGTTACAGCAGACACGCCATTGAGACAAAGATTAGGTCACAACTCCGTCACGGAGCAGTCAAGGCTCATAGCTGCATTCACGGAACTTGCTGTTGCAAACACCAAGAACCGAGAGTTGGAAGCGTCTCTGGAAAACGCAAACGCAGAAATATATGAACTTCGAAGTGCTCTGGAACAGGCGAATTTGGAGGCAAAAGTGCTCAAGACACAGCGCGATACATGCAAGCTAAATCTTGAGAATAGTTGGAACCTAGCAGAAGATTCGCAGGCACATAATCCAGCTCTTAACGTACAAGCATCACGACTCAAGAGAAAAGGAACTCCTCTGGACCGTCTTGGAGGCTTTCCATTCGATAAGCTGCCGAAGAAGCTCAAATACAAGATATTCAGGTATTTCCTTCAGAATATCCCGTCAATAGCTAAGCGATTATCCGGTCGGCCATGCTGCCCGGCCATCCCAGGATCGCTAGATGACGGCGACAGGGCACAGGTCGTCTTGCGAAATCTGGGCCCAAAACTGACCGAGGATGAGCGGGTCGTCGTTGGAAACCTCCCTTCTCTTGTCGGGAATCGAGTAGTACTTGACCATCTTCAGCCGTACATCACCGCGTGTGATACCAGGGCTATTCGAGACCTTTGTCTCGTGTCAAAAGATTTTCGAGCTCGATGTCTATTCATACAATCGAAGTTCAAGTATCTGAGCCTTGTCGTCACTCTCAAGGTGGGAGATTGTATCTAGATCTAAAGCGACCATTCAACTAACAAAGGCTTGCAGCTTCGCAGACGAATACTTCGAATTAATGTCTCCAGGATCTTGAAGGCTAGTAGATGTTATGAGCGCTCTGAATTGCGTATAACTAACAAACTCGCAGGGCAAGCGTCGCTTCGACAGACCGGTCGACAACCGCAAAAGGCATCGGTCGGGTAGCCAGGGAGACACGATTCACTGCAAAACCCATCCTTCAGGAAAAGACAGGAATGCAAGAAAAAGACAACGTTTGATATCTGATTCGCCATGATTATATATGGTGTTGTCGAATTGGAACCGCAACAGAACTTGCGCCGGATACCTCGAGTACATACTAGATGCAGGCTTGGGCTGCTCCATCTTACCCCTTTTTACGACCTGTATGAGATATGAACGACGACGCCTTTCCTGTTGGGTATTGTATGAGATGTAAATTAAACTTCTATTTTCTGGACTTGGACGGTGGATTGTAATTAATAGCATGTAAGAATCCTTGCATGATAGAAGGCCGTGTTGCTTATGGTTTTAATTGTCTTTATTCGAATATGTGCATCTATGATACGGGTATAAACGTTAACCAAACAAACAACACCGACTCCATTTTGACACCATGCTCCCAGCCTCAAACAACAACGCCGGAACCACGAGACACGATCAGACCAAGAATTCCTCATTCAGCCAGTGCCTCAAGACGATCTTGCCCTCGCTGAAGCTCTCCTTTCTGTCCGTACAATGATCGCCGCGTGGCTGTGGCTGATCTTGTGAATCCAGACGGGGTATTTTCGCCAGCCGAGACTGTCGAGGGCGTTGATCATCTCGAACTGGTAGGGGGCGAGGGCGAGCGTCGGCTGGTGGGGGTGGCTCTGCTTGCGCTCGAGGGCGACGATGCCGGCGGAGGCCTCGGGCTCCTCCTCGTCCTCGGAGCCGAGGTACTCCTGGTTCTGGGAGCTGTTGAAGGTCTCGTAGGTGTGCTCGACGGCCTCGCGGATCTCGGTCAGCAGCAGGGGCACGCCGCGGTAGTCGGCGGGGTTGATGCCGGCCTGGCCCTTCTCGTGCAGGGCGATGCGCTTGGTGCTGCGGGCGGTCTGGAAGACGCTGTTGGCGAGGAAGGCGACGACGCCGACGGGCACGAAGACGACGAGCGCGAAGATGAGCGGGATGCGGCGGAACCACTTGTGCGCCGACTCGCGCAGCGTGGGCTTGGCCCACGAGGTCGAGGGCAGCGGCGCCACGGGCGTGACGGGGTCGAGGATTACATCTTCGTAGCCCTTTACATAATTTACACGAATCTTGGACATGTCCGTGTAGGGGTCCGTTTTTGAGATGCCGGTTGTGTAGTAGACGGCGCTGCGATCGTTGACGATATTCGTGTAGAGCGTCCGCCGCTGGAACTTGGCCAAGCCCTTCATGAAGATGGAATTGGGGTCCGCCAGCACGGCGAGCAGGGGACGGCCCGTGTCACGGAATTTGTCAATGGTGAAGAGCTGCCGTCCAGACTCGCTGAGCGTCCTCGCACCAAGCACGTTCCAGAGATGATTGGCCCAGCCGTGGAGGGGGGTCCTGACTCCAAGAAAGGGGCTCGCGAACGCAGTGAAGTTCTACACAATAGATTAGCCATCCAGACCCAAGTTTAGATCAATAGAGAAAACCCACCATGCACTCAAGTTTGTCCAGCGCACCCTTCGCATACAACAGCCCGATGGCGTAGCGGGCGACAAGACCGCCCAGGCTGTAGCCAACAACGCTCAACTTTGTGATCTTGCCGCCCCGGCTCTCAATGGCACGCAACTCCTCCTCGATCTCAAGACAGACGCGCTCGCCGCCGGTCTCGACGCCATCGTAGGTGAAGGAGCCGCTGTTGCGCTTAGCGACGAGAATGTAAACCTTGTCGGCGGAGTGTTTTGCGCGCAGGCTCTTGGCGACGGACGCCATGTGATTGGGATTGCCCCATAGCTGCAAATAGGCGGTTTTGTTAGTCCATTTTTATTCTTCCATGTTCGCTGCAGTGAAATTCCATTTCATGGTGTTGACTGGTAGTAGGACAAGCAGCATGCAGTGCGACTGTAATCCGTGACGCGGCCTACCGATCGGCGCACTCGATTCCTCGAAAGGCAGGGCGCAGGGGTGGTTTTGAGTGCTGACGGAGGGACGGAGGGACGGATAGGCACGCGATCAAGGGACTTCCAGGTTGGATTGGACTTACACCATGAACTAGGACGCAGAGGTGGTCGGCCTCCACGCTGCCTCCGGTATAATCAGCCATGTGTTTGCAGGTGATGATCAGGGACCGGTCAATCGAGCTTAAAGCGAACGGTAACAACTTGACGGCTAGAAAAAGGGAGAGAAGAGGCAAAGAGTGGGCTGCTAGACGGTTTTGTACTGTAAGCCCAGGGGCCTGCTGTCCGTGAGTCTAGGCGTCAGGCTGGTGAGTGCGGGCTGTTCCGGCGGCCTGTCTCAAGCCCCGACCACCCGACCCTGACGCTTAGACTTGGACTTTAGACCAGGCGGACAAGTGCGTTCGTACGCAAGCCCCCAACTCTACAACACAAAGAATGCCGCCTGGCAACCGCACGCATGCGTAACACACGGTAAAGTCAGGTACCGGTATGCGCCAGCAGCAAGGAACAGCGCCCACTGGCTGGGGCTGGGGGCTGAGCGCCGAGGCGGACTCCTCGGCCGAAATCCCAGGGGTTTCGATGAATTCCCGGAGCAGGTCGCAAGGACTTAGGAGTTTAGCGGACCTCCTTTCGATCGTCTGGGAGAGCCGACTGGCTCGTGCAGCTACCGGTACTGTACAATGCACCCGACGCGACTAACAGTGCCTCATTAAGGGTCTCCTGCAGCTGCAGAGCCCTGCGAAATGCCCAAAAGGGGTCCCCGAAGGGGGTCTGGCCCAGCAGCAACTTGTCGTAATCCACCTGGAAATAACCAGTGACACGATCACCGACGGCTCCGAGCGATCGGGTGGTGACGACACGCCGCAGGAGGATGCTGGTCTCGTGTAACGACGTATTTAGCCTGGATAATAGGGCTGAACTCGGGTCCTCCTGCTAACGTTATTTTAAAATAGCGTATCAGTCCGTCATACCATACACGTGTAGACCTCGAAGATGCATCGATAAGTAGTAGTGGATGGGTGATGTTCAAAGAAAAAGAGAACAACACAAGTCGGCCACCAAAAGAGGTGGGAGTCACCATATTTCTATGTTTCCTGTGTGCGCAGAGCCAGAGATAAGGTCTCGTCTCCTCTTCCAGCCCCCTGGCAAGCCCTTGGGTTTTGGCCCTCAGACTAAGGTACCGGTAGTGCTACGCGGCTATCAAAAAGAACAGAGACATTTAGAGATAAGGGTTTCAGTGACGTGAACTAATGCCCTGATCGTCTGCGAATCCCCTCACTGCTACCGTACTGGGCAAGGCCTCACCGCCTAGGGGAGGGACGCCTAGAACCTCTATGTAGAGCGCTAGGGAAAAGAACGGCTCTGTGGGATGGCAACATTGCTTTGTCCAGGTTGGGCAACTGGCCATGTGCCTCGCTGCTTCTACCTCCTCCTCCAAGACGCTATACTGCAATGGTGACCGGGGTCAAGCCCCCCTCAATCTCCTGCCGCTCGTAGCTATGCACGGAGATCGATCGTAGATAAGAAAATGAGTAGGGGTCAACCTTGGTCCCTGGAGTACTGCGTATTGTAGGCTGCATATCGCGCTTAGTGAATGGGTGCAGCCTGGCTCTGGCTCCATCTGTGGATGGCAATAGAATTACCCCTCCGCCAGGGGTAACAAACGTTATTTCTTGAAGGGTAAAGATGCTGAAAGTTGACAGTGACAGTGGTAATACTCATCAAGATCTCAAAGGTTGTGTTTGTTACTATACCTAGTAGGTCTATCAACTTCTACAAAGGTAGTAATCTCTCGTTGTAGATCAACATTTTTAACCCTAGCGGAGGACTACAGCGCAGGGTCTCCACGAGCAATACCTTCCAAGGTTGCAGTAGACTGCTTAGCTAGAGTACCGTACCTCACTCACTCCCCCACTACCTTAGCCAGGTTATCGGAGCATTTTCTCCCTTACCTTACCCATGCTTGCACCTGTGCAGGCTACCTAGGTAACCTTTGAAGGCATACGTCTCCTATCTGACTGAATATTTCTACCTATGTTTCTAGGTACATAGGTTTCTACCTTTGGTGGATATTACCCGTTGCAAACACCGAACTTAGCGTTAACTCGCGTGTAAATTAACGGGATCTGACGTTGGCGGCTCCCCGGGCGGCCCCACCACAGGTGTTACACATGAGCTTACTATGCAGTACTCATAAGCTACTACCAATACCAACATCAACTGGGATTTCCGCATCTTGACTTTGAGCTCGCCAACGACTACCGGCCAGTGTGTGCCGGTTCACTTTGCAGAAAGTCCCATTCCTCGTCATACTATCAATGGTTTCAGTTGTACTAAACCGAATCAGCACACAAAATCAACATTTTAAGTGTTTTTTGCTCCACGTGGCTTGCCAGCCAGGCAGAAGGCAAGCTCTCAGGTTGTGACCTTCAACCTACCTTTGATCGATTCACTGGTGCTCATGTCTTTGACTAACAGCCATCACAGAATCTCCCGGCATTGAGATTTTACTACCACTTTGTCATTCCAAGCCATTGGCACTGTCTGACACTGCGACTGTAGTGACACTCTTCTCCTGCCCATCATGGCTGATGCTTATGCCAGCCTGGGTCTGCTCAAGCATGTGCCATGTCCTGCAGGTGACAAATGCACTGCTTTCAAATGTCTCTTTAGGCATACCTGGGATGAGGCTGCTTGGCCACTACCCCAAAGCGAAAAGACAGGAGTTGGAGCTGCTCTTTCAAGTCCCAGCCAGGGTGTGCCAATAGGTTCTGTGAGCGCCCAGGAGCCTCCACAAAAGCGAGTGAAGGTCACCGAAGCCCCTGGAAATGGAAGCTCTCACAACAAAAAGGCACTAGGTGAAGATGCGACGACCAATGACGCACCGACCAACACCTTAAAGAAAGATGCCTTATATGACCCTCTCTCTGCTCCCATCACTATACCCAACCCAAGACAGTCTGTCTCACCTCCCCCTTTGAAGCGCAAACTCCCGAATCTGAGTTTCTCCTCAACCAGCACGCCGCCATCTGAGATCGCGACGTCTGGGACCCCCAAGTCAGGCGCAGAAACGTCACAGAAACCTTCTGCTGGGATTTCTACCCCTGATAGCCAGCCTTCCAAAATCGAGCCGAAGAAGGCCCCGAGAAAGCCCGAGTCCCTCAACCCTCGTCTCCTCAAGAAACCGCCAGCCGGCCATGAGGTTCGATACAAGTTGCTGAAGCTACTCCACGCCGAATACGCACGGCTCAATTCAGAGCTGAAGAAGGATGCCAACGACGAAGAAGCCAAGCTCGTGCTTTCTGACCAAGCTCTGATCTGGATGGCTCTTGATGAGGAGCAAAAGATCGCCACAGAGAAACCATCCATCTACTCGAATGTCATCAAGAACCGGATCATGAATTATAAACGCATGTCCGTTCCTAAGTGGAAGGACGAGCGTTCCGCGTCGAAGAGAGCCGCCACTAAGGCTGGACCGCAGAAGAAGGAACCTCTTGGCCCGCCAAAGGTCATCGAGACCGGCTTGACCCCCGAGCAGGAGGTCAAGATCCTACCTAGACTACTCACCCCCATTGACGACCTGGCCATGTTCAACTACGTGCCTACTGCTCCCTCCCTTGCAGACATCCGAAAAGCGCATGAAGCCGTTGAGATGTCCAAGGGCTGGGAGATCTGCGATCGCTGTCAGAAGCGGTTCCAGGTATTCCCGGGCCGGAGAGAGATTGACGGCAGTCTTGCCTCAGGCGGTTCTTGCACCCATCACCCAGGCAAGACCTACTTCCCAGAGAGACAGTACGGCGACACTTCAAAGCAGACAAAGAAGTACAAATGCTGCGGACAGGCAGTGGGAGACTCAGCTGGCTGCACTACCACCAAGAGCCACGTCTTCAAGACTAGCGACCCGAAGAGACTGGCAGCTGTGCTCAACTTTGAAGAGACTCCTTCGAACCCGTTGGCTCCCAAAGATCGTGCTGTATGCTTCGACTGCGAGATGGGCTACACAGTCAAGGGCCTCGAGTTGATCCGCCTCACAGCCACCTCCTGGCCCACTGGTGAAGAGCTCCTTGATGTGCTGGTTCAGCCTATTGGTGAGATCCTGGATCTGAACTCGCGATACTCAGGTGTCTGGCCGGAAGATCTGGGCAATGCCGTCCCGTGGTCTGCACACTCCAAGCCGACACAAGTCGCAGGTCAAAGAAAGATACTCCAGATGGTATCGTCACCCATCGTCGCTCGAGATCTCTTGTTCTCCCTCATCTCCCCCGAGACACCACTTATCGGCCACGGCCTCGAGAATGATCTCAACTCCGTCCGGGTCATCCACCCTACTCTCATCGACACAGTTCTGCTTTACCCCCACAAGCGCGGTGGCCTCCCTATTCGCAACGGCCTCAAGATGCTCATGGAGACCTGCTTGAATCGCCAGATCCAGGTGGAGCCTCAGCCTGGCCAGCTCTCTGGACACGACAGCGCTGAGGACGCACGGGCGGCAGGCGATCTTGTCCGCTTGAAGGTGAAGAACGAGTGGTTCAAGATGAAGGTCCAGGGATGGACCTTTGTTGATGGGGAGCTGGTCCCTCCCGGTGGAGAGGGAAAGGGGAAGGGAAAGGGAAAGGATGGCCTGCTGAGCGAGGATTTCCTGGAAGATGGGGAAATCGCTTAAATCACACCACACGTCAATGAGCCATTCTAACGACATCAGTGCTGCTGAACATTACACGACAATTTTGATGGCTTAGAGTCTATACCTGTGCTGGAACATTTGTTTCTAGATTGCACAAGGAATAGTAGTTTTGAGCTGCTGCCGCGAGAGATTACACGACAATTTTTGGCTTGGAGTCTCACTCGGCTCTAGGACACTTGGTTCTGGATCGCACAGGATTTGATAGTCCTCTGCCTCTGGCTAAGACAGAGTTGGATGCTGACTACAGGGCTTCTTTATGAACCGTCAAGCAGATACCCCAAGGCAGTCTTTAAGACAAGCCAACGCAATGAATCAAATGAAATGATTTGCCAGCATGCTAGTTTCTTGTGAATAGTGATTGCCATTATCATTCCGAAGTGGGGAAGATGGGCTCCTTTTGCGCCCATCTCTCTGCCTAGTGATACATATACAAATTTTTTTTAATCATCCTACAGCTCATACTCGCCCATCACCCACGCCCTCATGCCCTCCCAGCGTTCAGAAGTATGTTCGACCCCTGCTTGCCACCGGGAATGTACGCCACATTGGGGTTGCTAGCCAGCGTCTGCGCAATCTCCCTGCTCGCCTCGATCTTCCGGATCTGCACGAGGCCGTCACCCGACTTGGCGATGGCCTTGGAGATGGTCTCTGCGCTCTCGGCCTCGCCCTCGGCGCGGATGACGTTGGCCTGGCGCTCCTGCTCGGCCTTCTCGACGATGAAGCGCGCCCGCTCCGCGTCCTGCTGCGCAATCTGCTTCTGCTCGACCGCCTTGGTGAACTCCTTGCCGAACGTCATGTGCGTGATCGACACGTCCTCCAGCGCAATGTTGAACTCGGCGGCCCGCTTCATCAGGTCGGTCCGGATCCGCTGCGAGACGGCCTCACGCTGGGTGATCAGCTCGGCGGCATCGAACTGCGCGACGATCGCCTTGAGAACTTCGTTGCCGATGGAGGGGAGCACACGCTCGTCGTAGTCATTGCCGAGATTCTGAAAGCTTGATTAGTCTTCGAGTAATATGTATATGTATGTATGTATGTATG